GTAGATTCGTTCAACAAAAAGTTTATCCTCTTATTAAACAAATCTCTTTAAAACTGCAGTAAATCATAATCGCATTATAAATTTAAGGTTTCTTAAATTCCATTTCCATTTACCGCCTTTATGATTTCCTATTCCGAATACTGCGTGCAGAAATTTCAATAAAAACCCATTCTTGCATTTTCCTGCTTCTCCTGCCACCTCGAGTCAATCAGATAAATGGAAAATCTGTGGCAAATCTGAGAGGCAGCTGGCTCACTATCGATTACCACATGAGGAGGCGGCCAACAAGAAAGGCATTGAGGCATCAATTAGAGACTTCCTGTTGTGCCATTTGGCCAAGGGGAACTTCATTAAACGCGTTTATTTCCTCGCAGGCAGACATTCGCATCAAATATCTGTCTGTCATTCGAGTTGGCTTATTCAGCATCTGCCGACAGCATAAATGCGATTTCATATACCTATCCTCAAGCGCGGAAGCACTCAGGAAAAGATACTTCTTTTTTGTCGGTCATGGGCGTAGGAACCTTGGGGGAACTTTGACTACAACTGAGAAAAATCTATGAATTATGTGAACTGAAGAAAAAGTTAGTTTAGTTTTTAAAATAATATGTCCATACAAAAGTTTTTTTAATTAGCAAAGTTCTATTTTAGATTCGTATTTATAAAAATTTTATTTAAAAAGTTTCAATGTTTGCTTTTGAGAAACGTATTTTTTGCATAGTTATTTCTCTTATTTGCATCTTGCACCCAATTTAAATTTGAGTATTATCCAAAAGACAACCATAAAATGCATTAGAGTTCCTTTTCAGCTTCAGTTTTCCCCTCTAAACAACATATATATCCCCCGGAAAATTGCCAAAGGGGAACACATGTTTCATAACACTTAAAATCCCCGATTTCGAGGAGTGCGACGATCGCGTGAACAAGTAAATGCCAGGCAATAATTTTTTTATTGCCAGCCAATGCCAAAAACATTTCGCATCGAGTGTAAGTACATATTGAAATAATGTTATTCCTCTTTGTGCGAGAGTGTGGGTGTCTGTCTGATAAGCAGCCAAAGTCCTTGTTATTGTAGCCGTTAAATCCAAACACACACATACATTCCCACCCTCTCTGAACGGCTGGATGTGGGCGTGGCATGTTTGCCAAACCCTCGATATTTATGCCCTTGGTATCGCTTTAGTATCGGTTTAATCAGACTCTTTGATTTTACAACACCATTATGCACTTTTAGTGTGATTGATTGGGGGGCCCGGAAAATGGCAAATGCATTGCCGTTCGGTATAAAAGCCGAATGCGGATTGCGAATTCAAATTCGATTGGGGAATAAAACAAAGTACATTAAAGGTTAACGAGTAGCAATCAAATCCAAACGGCAATCCAAAAAATAGAGAAATTTAATTGCACTTGCTCGGATGAAAAATAGAAACTAACTATCAATGTTTGCAATTGCTCAACAGTATTCGTTGTTGCAATATTCATATTTAAACCTCCTTAAAGCCAAAAATATTTCACCACTCAAAGGTTTTCTCTCTTCTAATTGCTAATCCTTTAAATTGGCAAACAAATAACATTCCAAAATAATGGAATATATAAGTAAAAATATATTTGAACGATTTTATTTATTTATCACTTTGCTAAAACTACTGAAAAATGGTTTAGAATCTACCGCAAATATTTTTATTGCGACCGTGTGGTCGTAGCAAAAAACTTACTGCGGTGAGTGTTTTAAATTGCTGCAAATTTGATCTAAATAAAAGCAGAAAACTTTGTGCCTAACACTTTTGGTCTGGAAACTTTCCAGCAGTTATCAGTTGCAGTTCGGTTTACATTGTTCTGGTTCGAAGTCAGGACAACTTTTTGCAACCATTTGCCATTAGCAGACATTCAGTTGCTGGCACTGGGAAAAAATTGAGCAAGTTGAGAAGCAATTTATCTCAATAATATTTAGGACTTTTTTTCTGAATTTTCTTGAACATAAATACGATCCTCTTAATATGGCGTTAAGTCCACATTAAAGTAAGGTATATAATTTATAATGTATAAGATTTTTCTAGTCAAATATTTAATTTACTGCTAAAATCGTAAGCTCAATTTGATCCATTTTAATCTGGCAAATAGCAATTTCATTTTAAAACTGGTTTAGTGTGGCTGAAAACGGAAAAGCAGACAAGTTGTTAAATAAAAGTTTCCCGCTTGCTTACAGAACGTTTTTCCGGATTCCGGAGTCCGGAGTCTGGTTTCCGGAGTGCAGACCGCTCTAAATGCGGAGCAGTGAACCTCATGCATAATGCAGGAGTCGGACATGCAACTATCTCGGTGAAGAGAGTCGGTCTCCGTTTGCCGCCGAGATACTTATTTGAGATACGCCGGGCATTCCGCATTCTGCATTCTGCATTCAGGATTCTTCATTCTCTTCATTCACTCATTCGTTTGTTTGACAGATATCCTGGCACTCGATCCCGGCTCCGCCGCAGTTGTCCTGCCGCAGGAGCTGCGTTTATTTACTGTCCGGCCTCTCAGCCGTCAGGGTAATTAGGCAGACTCGTGTGGGATTGTGCTCTGCTAACGACCCGCCTGAATAATTCATTAGCCGGCGGTCCTTCCACACCCCGTCCACCATCCATCCGTCCATCTACCAACTCATCCACACATCCTGCTCCCGTTGGGCATCTGGCTGCGCTTTCAAAAAAACCCACCGCAAACATAACCCAAATGCAAACAAGAACATTCTCTGGCTAGTTGATATTTCACTGAGTGTGTACTTTGCCCCAGATTGAGGAAAGCCTCCTGCACATACACACGTATTATAAGGATGTAGGCGGCAAGTGATATTATGTGCTTTTACTATATCCTTCCACCTCATTAGCTTAGAGAGACTACAAATTTTTCTGAGTGTTTAAGCCGCCTTTGCATTTCAAATGCATTCAGCTAGCAGCGTGTCCAACAAATTCATTTGAACTTTTTTTCAAAGAAAAACCTACTTAAAGAGTTAAACAAAAAATATGTTTTAAATCTTAAAAGAATTCTTAGTAACTTTGATCTTTCACCAATTTGAAATACTGACCTAAATGTTGTTTTTATAATTCCTGAAAATAAGTAAAAGCAAAACCATTGAAAACATTTTTAGATTTTCATTATTGTTGCTGCTTTCAACTCTTTGCTTTTAATTGAATTAAATGTATTTATAAACTTTATGACCCATTCCATACACTCTGTCTAGACATCTGTATATCATAAAATACCCAGCAAAGATTATTTAGATGTATAGGCAAGGAAATTATGTAAATGCTGTTTGGCATTTATTGGCCAAATTTAGTTGGTAATTTGTGTGCATATATTAAGTATATTTATGTTGTGCACCTGGCCAATCTTGGCCAAGGCAAAGGGAATTGGCCAAGATGTTAAAGGGTCGCTTTATTGTCGGCACGTTTTTCATATTTCTGCAATCCATTACCAAGTCCTGGCCATTCGTCACGGACTCACAGCCTCCGGCGAACTTCAAAAGTTCCACGACTGGTCATTTAAAGAAGAAACTTTATGCGCAACGATTTTCTTTTGGCTTCTAAGCTGCTTATGTCGAAGATGTTATGCTCTTGGAAATGTTTTTATAATAGGAATGAAACTCGGGGATAATTTAAGCAAATTGAAAATGAGCAAGTTAAAGTTTCAAGATATTTTAAAAGACATATTAGTTAGTTAGATTTTAATAATTTATTATCCATTTTGATTGATTATGACTAGTTAAATAGAAGTATGATGCTCTCTTACAAGCAGAATATTAATTTGCTTGCTTGCTTTCGCTACTTAAAATGTTATTTTGCTGTACTTTCACACATAAATTTTAATAGAGAGTATCAAAGCTGTCAGAAATGTTGCAATGTTAACCGAGTTTCAGCACTCGGTGCCCCCGAAAACATGTACTTTTATTACCTTCTCGAAGAGGAGAACTTCCCTGTCGAGATTTGTGCGCTGACAGGAAAGAACTTTCGGCTGACTCATGGCAGTCGCCACTGGCAGTTGATTTACTGCTCGCCGGAGGGCGGGTTCTACTGGCAATAGCTTGCAGGTAAGTGTTTTCACCCAGACTGCAGCTCTGCAGGAAAATGAAATTTGGCTGAAAACACCTGCAGAAGCTGTTGCCAGATGCTGGCCTTTGTGGCAAAGGCTTCGTAGTGGAAAATGTGGAAAATATTCAAGTTCGCATTGCTTTCACTGCACATTTTATAAAATTCATGCAGGTTCGCCCTGATTTCGCTCCCACTAATGGGCTGCTCTTTGTCCCGGAACCGAAAAAGGATGATTCCTTCATCAAAATTCCCTGTGATTCGGTAAGCAATTTTCCATTCCCTCACAATCGCAATCAAGCGATGAGCTTGCAATCCACTTGGCTCTCTTCCCGTCACTAAAAGGACATGGAATATGGGCGGATTCTTTTTTGATATTGATAAATGCTTCTGCTTCTGTTGGCTTAAAACGAGCAGAAATTCTGTTAACTTTGCAGAGAGAGTGGTTTATAACTTGTATAAAAAATATGAATACTCATTTAGTTTCATATTTGTTTTGAAATTATAAAAATATAAATAAATAAAAAGAATAAAGCTCTAAGAAAATAATTTAAAGAAAAAAGAAGACATTTGGAACCAATTTGATATTAAAGATTATATTTTATGCTCTGTAAATGTTCTGTTAAAATTGTTTATTTTATCATAAATTTGAAAAAAAAAATCAAGGGTGTATAAATATTAAAATCTGCACATGGAACTTCTTTATAATTTGTATAGTTCCAAATAAATAGTTGGACTATTTGTTCTATATTCAATAATTAGCTTTGAATAACAGGAATCATTATATTAAAATATTAACCTCAATCTACAATTTATAAATTTGATACATATTTATCATGAATATGAATCTGTATCCTTTGTTTCTATAAATTCGATTTAATAGATCGTTTATTTTCCTGTTACAAATTATTTCAATAAATCTTTAGCACTCACCCTGTCTCAGTTGAGCCGCCTCCCGAGCACTCCTCCGCCTGGCTGGCCCAGCTCGAGCATCACGTCGGAGTCCTGGCACTGGCTGGTGCTCGACTCCAGGATGCTGATCCCCGTGGTGTTGTCCGTGCTCACGAACGGCGTCTCGCTGAAGCGCACCTCCACCGTCTGCTCATCGCCCGAGTCCAGGTAGTCGCCGTCCGTCTCGTCCGTCCGCCGGCGGATCCGGCGGGACAGCTCCACCTGCTGGTGGTGCGACGGCTGCAGCTGGTGCATCTGGTGGTCGCCACCATGAACAAGAGCTGCATTGATGCCACGCCCACTCAGGATGGGGGAGACGGCGCCCGTGCCATTGCCGTAGGTCGGCTCCCTCGGGATAATCAGCAGCTTCTCCTTGGGCAGACACGTCTCCTGGGTGATGCCGTTCTCGTCCTGGTCGTCGGCATCCAGGCTGCCCAGTCCCCCCTCCCCCTTGCCATGATGCAACCTTGGACCGCAGGTGTTGCGATCACTGCGATTGTAGCCCCTCGTGATGTTGATGATGTTGTTGTTCGACGGATTGAAGCAGGGCAGCACGTGCTTGAACTCCTTGCGGAAGTTCTCATTTAGCCAGGCGTACAGGAAGGGATTGTAGCACGTGGAGCTCATGGCAATCGAGTGGGCCACGAAGAAGAACAGGATGTAGAAGCGCCACTCGTTCGACTTGTCGTCGAAGTCATCGAAGATGTTCACCACATTGATGGGCAGCCAACTCAGACCAAAGACGCCCACCATGGCGATGAGCATGCGATTGGTGCGCTTCTTGCGATCCCGATCCGCCTCCTCCCGCCTCGAGGACTTCGAGCCCGGCTTGGTCCTGGCCCGCTGGTTCAGCTTCACCGATATCCACACATAGCAGATGGAGATGATGAAGAACGGCAGGACGAACTGCAGCGTGGTGGTAATGGCTCCGAACACCTTTCTGTACTGTTCCGACGGCCAGTTCTCCTCGCAGTAGACCACATAGGGTCCCGATCCCGATCCCGAACCCGATCCCGCCGTCATTACCTGCATGTACGCCTGGGCAGCCGAGGTGGCGTCGGGCGCCTCGATGAATCCGGATCCCTGGGCCACATAGCTGCCATTCAGCATGAGAGTGGCCTCCACGAAGGTCTCATTGCCACTTTGCGTTCCGTTGACCAGCTCCTTGGTCATCTTCATGTACATGCCGTAGGGAACGGTGGCCAGCAGGGCGATCACCCAGATGCTCACTATGATCCCGATGCAGGTGGAGAGCTTCATGCGCGGATGGAACGGGTAGATGATCACGAAGTACCGATCGATGGCGATGGAGGTGAGCGTCAGCGTGGATATGTAGATGCTGCAGCCCTGGGCGAAGGACACCAGATGGCACAGGCTCCTGCCAAAGGCCCAGCGACCCATGAAGGTGTAGAGCGGGGTAAACGGCACCGCCAGGACACAGAGCAGGATGTCCGAGAGCGCCAGGTTCGTGATGAATATGTTCGTTACCGTTTGCATGGCTCGATTCCGCAGGACCACATAGCAAACAAGGACATTGCCAAAGACTCCCAGGACAAAGACGGTGGCGTAGAGAACGTAGAAGAAGATCTGCACGAACTGGTTGTGAATGATGCCGCCACTCCGGTCGTCCTCCGCGGCCATCGCCTCCGCCAGGATAATGCTCGTCGTTCCCGGCGTCGTCAGGCTCCAGTTGGTCGTGCCGCTGGCCAAGGGAATCCCGGTCGTGGTGCTCAAGTTGGCCATCTTTGCGACTCTAACGGCTAATGAGTTGAGTGGTAAAAGTGGTTGTCGGGGATTGTGTGCTCCACTTTCTCTGCCCGTCGGCGTTTCCGTTTCCGGTTCGGATGCGCACCACTTAAGCAGCCATTTCCGTCGCCGCCGGAATCGAGCTCCTTAACCGTTGGCCTGGCCAAAAACCTCTTGGCCACTCGCTCACAAAGCTGACCGGGATGCTTTGCTCATCGCTAATTGACTGAGCCGTTGAGTTCTGAAAGGCAACAGAAGGGAAAGATTTTAGTTTGAATGTGGATTGAGGAAGGTGGAATTATAGTATGTAAAAGCAAGCAAACTGTAATGTGCATACCATTCGCTCTTGAAACTTTTTAAAGATTCAAAAGAAACAACATTTTTTTAACACAAAAAAAAGTTTTTAAGAAATGCTTTTGGGTAAATTTTTTTGAACATTTTCCTTGTGGTATTTTGTTTGGGAAAAAAACATTCCATCTTTGTGCCCAACATTTATTGATATTTAACGTTGCAAAAATCGTTTTATGCCAAATTTGAGCTGGTCAAATTTACCAACTGATAAATTCAGTTCAACGAGGAGTGAATGCCAAAATAATTTTGCATTTGCTTCCTTTGGCATTGGAAATATCTGCCAGAGCACAGAGAAATCATTGATTATAAAAGCCCTTCAGCAATCCAACAGCATGGTAAAAATACCCATAAAATTGACTACCAGAACTCAACTTATTTGAAAGTTTTCGGCATGGGAATTCGTCTTAAACGGACTTAAAAACTAAGTTTTCTCCCGGTAGATCCCCCATTCCCCTATTTCTCCATCGACCATCGTTCCCAGCAACAAACTTGGTTTCACTTTTTCAGTGCTGCCTTTTGTTGGTCTGCTTTTTGGCCAAAAGGGATTAAGTTGTTGCCCTGACTGGCTTTTATTTTTAGTTGCTGTCAGACACGCTCCTCGGCTTCCAGCTTCGAGCTGGGTTCCTCCTCTCCGAGTTTATTAAAAACAATGCCAATGTGACAGTTGCTGTCTCTAACTGGGCATCCAGACGGATATCTGCGGAAACTTTGATACCACTTTGATACTTGCCGGACAGCTTTGAGCCAGAGCTGAGTTGAATGGCGAGTCCGCAGAGAAAATAATTTCATTGGTTAAATTAACAAATTCCGTCGGAGAACTTTTCAAAGCTTAAAGTTTCAAGACTTTGAGCAGCGACATCTTGGGAATGTTTTTACTCAATGCAAGTGATGAACCTGTTGAGGATTTTTAACTCGTTGCTCATCGAAGCTTTTAAAAAGAAAATTCTGTTCGATAGTTGAAAGGAATTATCCGTAACGAAATGGCCATTGCTGAAGAAGTCCATTGTCCAGATTAAAAGCCTCTGCCAATCGGAACAGATGTTAATTGCCTGCTTCCAGTGGAGCAAAAGAAAAGGGTAATCCCTGCATTGTCCCGATTTGTTGAAGCCTTTACCAGGATGGCTTTTAATCTTCTGCTTACAATTGGAAGTTCAGGAAATTTTATTGCTTCCCCGGAAGGTCGAAAGTTTTGGCAGGCAACCGAGAATAACCGGAAACCAACGATGCAAATATGCCGATGGCCTATGGCCTCTGATCACGTACAGCAACTAAATGCAAATTTAATTGGATTCACCTAACAACGGTTTGGAAAAGTTTTGCTAAATATGCAGCTGCATGTCGGACCACCAAATGAAGTTAGTTAGCAGAAAATTCGAGCCGTAGTCGGATAATGCAACGCACCATAATCAGAGACTTCGGGGGAGTTTGGTAAAACTTTAGGAGGTTACAAATTGAATTTGTGCATTAAATACATGTTTAACTCCACGGGTCGCAAATAACAATGTTAATGTTGTCAATTTGGGAGGCGTTGCAGATGTTGAAACTGTATTAGAACTTGGAACCATTATCATATTAGGAAAAAGAAAAAGTTTGGTTATCTTTCGGAGACTTAACCAACTAAAGAAATAAAAACCAGTTGGTGTTCATTTCCTGTTAGAATGTTAGTGGAACTAAATAAACAAAATGGACACAACATAAATTGTATACTGGCTAAAGGTTTATAAAAATGTACCAAATTTTATTGTAAATTTTTCTTCACTTGATTAATAAAAAAATAAACATCAATCATAAAAAATTCACAAGACACAACCAGAATTTAAAAATGACAACTTAATAGGGCACGTGGTTGGGTTTATTAATTATAATTTTTCCTGCAATAAAAAAGATAATTTATCAAAGAGGATGAAGGCCAAAAGAAATTGTTAAAAATTACTCAAGATATTTCGGAAAGTTTCGCAGGGCCCGCAGGTTATGCAATCCGGTTAACAGAAAGAATGTCAGAAGAATTTAAGCGCCGCCGGGCCAACGGAGGAAATATAATCATTTTGATAAATTAATAGAACTCTGGACCAGGTTATGGCAAAGAAAAAAAGGAAGCCACGAATGCCGGATATTGTGTAAGGGAAGAACAACAAGAAACAACAACGTAGGCAACGAGAAAAATTGCCAGTTAACAAATTCTTTTTTGTTGTTGTTTTGTCTCTTTATCCATCGCCTGGCTGTTGGGAGCCATAAACTCCATCAAAATCATTACCACCAGCCGGCATTGGAAAGCCCCGAGTGTCGGCGACATCATCATCGCCATCATCCGCCTCTTCCTGGATCCTTTGCCGCGACTCCATTGTCCTTCTGCAAGGCTCACGCGCCGCACTCCCATTATCATTACTAACAAGCAGCACAAAGCAGCTTGAGTGTGTCATCCTGCTGGAGACCGATTCCCACCAAGGCACCGCCAAGGCACCACCAAGCCACCTCCCCTCCCCTTCCCTCCCCTCCCCTCATTGAGCTCCTGATCTGTGGCACTTCGTAATTTTAATTTTGATGCATTTGTCACCATTTTTTGTCCGCCTTTATGTTCTACACTTGGAAAAAAAGATCTCATAAGGTTATCAGTTTAAATTTTTCTTCAACGTCTACAAAAAAAAGAGAAACTATATTTACAAACTTTTTTCAAATAATAAGAAAAAATTACGAGTCTTTTTTTTAATTTTAATTGCGACTTGCGAACTTTTTTTTTGTAACTTAAAGAATCTGTAATGCTAAATAATAATGAAAGGGAATGCCATTCTCATTTAAATCGATTCTGCTTAATAGGGTTTTTTATTTTAAACAAAGACCTATTTTTAATTGCAAATTTTTTATTGCAAATTGCGCATCTCAGTGTAACTGGCTCCCTGTCGCTTTGGCGTCTTCTGCGGCAACGATTTATCTTTGGGCCGTGACATAATGAAACAAGGCGATATGGCCAGGGCAGAACAAACGCTCACTTTAATGGGATTTTATTTTGTGCCCGCAATGTCAGGAGCAACGACGACACCCACAACAAACTGTTCGGCTCGTCCTGTAAGTGCTGGTATATGGCCTACTTATAGGCGCTTGGGGAATTTTATGGCGACAAGGTGCATCGTCCAGAGGGCAGAAACCATTAATGAATTTCCCATCGCTTCGGGCTTAAAGATGCAGTTAAAGCGTATCTCAATGGACTGTCGAGGAAGTTTATGGGTGCGCAGGACAGTCAAACAGAGTGCTAAAAAAGAGGAGGGATAAAAAGGACAACCTCTCGCTACTTTTATTCGCCCAAAGCCCTTTTGATTTCCCATTTACGGCAGCTGAAGGCTAGGAAAAATTAAATAAAAAAAACAAATTGAATACGGTACATTTAAGAAAAACATGGTTTTTCAAGTTGTACATAAGAGTTTAGGAAATAATTAAGAAGATGTTCATAAGCTTTAATTATTTCAAAACACATTTAATTTATCAATTTGCAAACAAAACAAGAAGTCAATTTTTAACCTTTTGTCTAACGTACTTAAAAAATAATCAAGCAAAAGTGTCAACAAAATACAAACAAAAGTGTGATAATAGCCAGATAATAATCGGAAAACATTCAAACACCATTTGCATAATTGCATGCAAACGCCAATCTAGATAGGAATATTTAAATAGCAATCGTATAACAATGGAGCAACAATCAGATCAAATACAAAATACATTTCTAAACCATTTCTCTGACCAAGCTTTAATTTATTCTGTAGAGCTTCAGATCCATCTCGACTTTTGAGTTATTTCATCGAATAAATTTGGGCAACCATTGCGTGTTATTCCGAAGGATATACATATATTTTTCCCAACCGCAGTCGATAAAAAGCCTGGTTAAGCTGTTTTGCGTGCCGACAGACGGCTTTAACTACTTTTTAAGCATTTTCAGCTTGAGAAAACTTCCGGAAAACCACAAATACCTGGCAAATGGAAACTATGCCATTAGCAGAGCTACACCAGATTTTCCTGCACTAATGATGTGGCCGGATTGGCCGGTGATCAAGGCCACAAAACTTCTTGGCCAGCTCCTTCTACTAATTAACATGGCTATTTTTATGATAATCAATTACAAAGTTCGCGCAGAACTTTGACGTTAGTTTCGCTAAGGAAAAAAATATATAAAAACTAGAAGAAAGTTTATTCGCGGCCAAAGAAATTACTCAGCAGATTAGGAGATCCGACAGATGAGGCCTCGATGGGAACATGTGTTCAGTGTCTGTGTCAGTGTCATGAATCGATTGATGACGCGGAATTTAATTAAAATTTTGTTCGAATTTTTTCCCATTTTCCGCTGCTGCGTTTGCCACTTTAAATTGCTGCTTTGCTCGTAAGCAGCCACTTTGCATATCGTTGAAATGTCGGGTTGAGAATTATTCATACGCACATGAGTCTCAGATATGTATTTACTCGAATGAGAGCAGCGCGCTGCCTTAATTTATTTTTTGATTTATGTGCCCGGCAACTAATTAGAGAGTTATTTCCATTTCGGATCACAATGCACTCGAACCGAGGGTCTAGTAACTGACTCACTCAAAGTAGTTGCCGAGTATTTGCCACATTTACGACGGACACATAAATATCGAGTATGTATGCACAAACCGAATCGCATATATCAAAATCCAAATATATCTGCATCAAAGAAATAGTAATAAATGGGCAAAAATAAAAGAGAGCATTACTCAACGGGGAAATTTTAATACTCTTCATCAAGCGATTTATTATGGTGCTTTCTCATCTTTGCTTTAAGTACTATTAAGCTCCATCCACTTTTAATTTAAATTGTACATTATAAGTCATTTAAACATAAATAAATGTTTTAATAAATTATTTTTCGTAAAAATAAAAATGACA